GTCAGGCTGGCGGGCGCGCAAGGGAGCACTGTCCCCTGTGTGCTCCCTCTTCAGCTCCCTCGCGAGCCGCGTACTGATGCAGGAGCCGGAAGATGACGTCCTCTTCCGGCTCCGGTATCAGTGCGGTGCGTGAGGGAGCACACAGGGGGCAGTGCTCCCTCGTGCGCCCGCCAGCCTGCCCACCCGGTGATACCAGGGGGGCCCTGAGGTAGTCAACTCCTGGACCCACCAGGAGAAGAGGCTGGCCACAGTGGGTACATACCGGGTCGCCGGGTGCATCCCCCTGCGGCCACCAGCAAACCTGACCCTTGACTGCCCTGCACGACTCCCTGGCCGGTCGCCACAAGTAGCTATGTTATGTGTCAGTCTGTAAAGAGACTCTCGTGGGTGCCTTTTCACATGGATTCTCCGATGCTATTAAGGATGAAATTGCAGCCAGAGAATTACCTAAAGATCTCGAGGAACTGATATCTTTTGTCATCCTTACTGATATCATACTCCAAGATAGACCATCGTTCAGGGAGTGCCTGCGGAGGTCTCCTGTGTATTTGGCACAAAGCTTTTCTTCCCTACCCAAGCCTCCCTCACTTCTCAAGCCTCCTGGTCCTGAGTTCTCTGGTGATGTGGAGCCAAGGCTGTTAGGCATCACATGCCTCTCTGTCGGGAGAGGGCCTTTAGGAGGAGGGAAGGTCTGTGCCTATACTGCAGACACCAGGGTCACCTGTTAAAGTCTTGCCCGATTCGACCAGTAAAATGCCCGCACCTAACTGTCAGGGGCAGATCTTGGGTGGTCTTTCTTCATACCCAGAGATTTATAAAGACAAAGCCTTGGTGCCTATTATCCTCTCCTGTGTCATGCGTTACTCGATTCTGGGGCTGCAGGCTTGTTTATAGACAGTGCATTTGCATTGGAGCACGCTATACCCTTACAGCCTCGCAACTCTCCGCTAGCTTTCAAAGCCATCGATGGCAGACCACTGCAGCCTACCCACATACAGGGTTGGACTGGCCTACCAGGATACCGGGAAATATCCCGGTGGGCAGTCGGCACCTGGGGCCGGACAGACAGCTGTCTGTGCTGGCGGCCGCAGGGGGAGCTGGCTGTGCTGGCTCTGTTCCCCCGCCCTTGCACGCTACTTAATGAGACCGGCCCCGATCTCATTAAGCGTTGCACTGGGGAGCAGAGCCAGCACAGCCAGCATCCCCCTGCGGCCACCAGCACACCTGACCCTTGACTGCCCTGCACGACTCCCTGGCCAATCGCCAACAAGTAGCTATGTTATGTGTCAGTCTGTAATGATGTGTGTGTGTGTGTCTGTGTCATGGCGTGTGTCAGTCAAGGTGTGTGTGTGTGTGTGTGTGTCTGTCATGGTATGTGGTAATTTTTCAGGCTGGACAAAAGTGGTAAGTGGTGTCCCTCAGGGTTCTGTTTTGGGACCGCTTCTATTTAACATATTTATAAATGATCTTGAAATAGGCATTGAAAGCCATGTATCAGTGTTTGCAGATAACACAAAACTTTTTAAAGTAATAAAATGTGAGCAGGATATTGCTTCGCTGCAGAGGGATTTGGATAGATTGGGGGACTGG